ATAAATTAACGTTTTTATCTTTATATAGGTAAAAATTCAAGGAGAATTCGATAGACATAAATCAAAGACTATCAGAAGTTATTTAGACAACTTTCTAAAAGGTATTTTTATCAAAAAAAACAACATTAACTAGTTTTTTGTACTGTTAATCTAGGGTAGTGTCATGAGATCTATTTTATTTTCGGTATATCAACATAATTTTCAAAAAAACATCAATAAAACCTACAGAAATATCCTTGTGACTGTCAAAAAACATCGATAGAAGAGTTTAGATGTATCGGTAAACTCTTCGGGAAAATAGCAGTTAGAGGATACAGGGAATAGATAAACGAAGAAGTGAGAAAAAATGAAGTGTTAAATATTCAAATTAGTGTTCCTAACCAGAAGATGTCCTTTGTTTGCTCCTGTACAGCTGCTGCTAAAATACAGTTGGAGGACATCGGCGTAGCTCTTTCCTTCATTATACGCTTCTAAACATTTCCAAAATCTTTTGAAAAGTTTAAGATGAACCTGCTGATCTCGAAAATTGATTCGTGATTCCTCAATCAATCTTATCATCGTAGGATATTTCTGATCAGTTCTTTTTCGTATGAATTGCTTCATATGAGCCCAACATCCTTCAATACTGTTAATCTCATAATGGTACTTAGGACAGAATAATAGAAATACACCATATTTTTGTGCTAGCTGTTCTAATCGAGAAATCTAGGGAAGAAAAAAAGAAAAGATATTTCTAAATTTTTCGTGTCAACTGCGCAAATTACGTTTCGAAATGCTGGATGATGGGCAAGTAGCTGACGTAGTTCACTTAATTTTGCTTTTAGTGAGGGATTACAGTTAAGTTCGATCGCAATCTGTAATAAACCTTTGGATTTTCCTCGATTAGGACCACGCTGAAAATAACACGGTAATGATTGTGTAATGCCCTTAGCATCCACCCATTGAAGTTGATCTACAGGACAACGTGTTGAAACACCTTTTCCAAATTCTAATAGATTATAAGCACGAGCAGAATGAGTACGAGCATTATCCACTACTATTTCAATACTATGATTATTAAAACATTCTTTAAATTGTAATAGTTTAAGAAGTCGCTCGAATTGTGCTAATATAGTTGAATTATCAAAATATGCATCAGAACTAAGATGCACAGATGCACTAGCAGAACGTTCTATATAGTCAACGTCTTGTTCTTCATCTAATTCTGGATATTTCTCTAATGCTTTATCATATTCAGTTGGACTTAATTGAAAGAATGGACCTGACGGATGCATGACTAAAAAGTCCGATAACATATTAGATCTACCACGACCTTTAGAATAAAATGGCGCCTGATCATTGTATAGCCAGCGTTTAGCTGACACCTCACCGCTTCGAAACGTACTCTCATCATGAACTAAAAAGGAAAAATGCAGAAAATGCGAAACAATATATAAAGAGTTCTTTTTAGTCTATCGCAACATACAGATCAGAACAGTTGGGACATTAACTTTTGGTGTTTGCCATTTAGGCTGTGCACCTTCGCTTATTAAGTAATACGAATCCTTTTTTGGAAGAAAATGCTGTAAAAATTCTGTTCGGTGCTGGACTACGTCTTGCCGCTCGTGGCCTTCGAAGTAGGGACGTTGCGAATTAGATTCGAAACGTGCGCCCCATCTTCGAAGGTCGATACGACAGGATTGCATTGAACGAATTAATGAATCATTGGGATCTTTTTTAACATCAGTAATGGTATAAAACTGTTCATCGATAAATTTTGCTAATTCAGATACGTCAAAATCAGCTGCTTTTGCAGCACATCGTTGAATAGAATAAGTTTTAGCTGACAATTCAATATCAGGAAATACATCGTAAAAACTAGGAATATGTTTTCCACCTCGACCTTCGCTAATAAATTCATCAAAACTACCAGATAAAAAAATGTTTGCCCATTTATCAGCTGTTCTAGTCGTTAATGCACCTATCTTTTTGAAAAATTCATCACATTTAATCCAACTTATACCGAAAAGACGAAGAGTCATATATAATAATACACTAACAATTTTAAGACCAGTTTTATCTTTAACCCTTTGGTTACGGAGTTTTTTTTAGATGAATCTTTTCTTTCCGTTCTAAAACGGTGTGAAATAACTTTTATTACTGTCTGATCGATTGGAAAATTAGTGATAATAATTCAAAACAACCTATCACACTGATAACGTGTATCGGCACCCTTTTTCTCTCGTCTGCTTGTATGAGTACAAACTATACAAGCTCTTCGTACAATTTTTCCTGTTGCTGTTGCTGGAACTAGATGAAAATGACGTGTAGTAAGACGTATGAGATTATCTCCGATAATCGGACGACCAATTTGATGTTTGGGTTGGGCACATCTTGCAATCAGTTACCAAAGTAATTCACTTTGAAAATCGCCAAATCGAATAGTTTTTTTTTATACTTTACTTTGAATAGCATTAGAACGAGGTAGAATGTGAGAAACAGGCATTGCAGAACGCAAGAGAGAGCACATATACACATAGAAATGCGGGAAGATGACTCAATAATGTTAACAAGATAAGAGAAAAAGACAGGAGTCCTTTCGATCGAGTCCAAATAATATTATAATGATGGTAATATCTGCAAATGTTCAACACGCATATATGCGTGATCCGTAACCAAAGGGTTAATCAATTCGAACAAATCTCCTATATCATCGAGTTTCATCTTATCAGCAAAGCGAATAAGTTCAATATTATCATCATTATCCTGTATAGGTTCTTCTTCGTCAGATGCACTCCCATTTTCTGATGAGACTCGTTGGTCATACCATTGCTTCCGTGCATAAGCACGTCCTATAGATCGACGTTTATTTAATTTAGGCATAATGAATAATTAAAAATAAGAAATTGTTTAAGGTGATTTGAAATAGCTTGTTCAACTAGCAAAATGTAACGTGTTTTAAGCAAACGTTTATAATGAGAAAAAGAATTCAGACAGCAATATTTATAGACTCTAGAACCGTTGCTATATCGAGAAAAAGATTTCTTTAGTAATAGCGAAACAATATATAGTACCAGGAGAGAACAGAACGAAAAATATTCAGCTAAATTTATGTAACGAAAAAGAACTGATACACACTGAACAGAAAGAAAAATATATTACCAGTCAGGAATAGAAAGAAAAAAATCTATCATAAGAACACAACACGTGTGTTCGTAAGAAAATAGCAGGTGGCTTAGTTTTCACCACTTGCTGATACTGAAACGAAAAAAACAATTCAACTGAACATTCAATTGATACTGCGAAGAAATACATGCAAAAAAAACTAGTAAATGTTGTTTTTTTTGATAAAAATACCTTTTAGAAAGTTGTCTAAATAACTTCTGATAGTCTTTGATTTATGTCTATCGAATTCTCCTTGAATTTTTACCTATATAAAGATAAAAACGTTAATTTAT